GATAGCTAGATAGATAGATAGATAGATAGATAGATAGATAAATAGATAAATAGATAGATAGATAGATAGATACATAGATACATAGATACATAGATACATAGATACATAGATACATAGATACATAGATAGAGAGATAGATAGATAGATAGATAAATAGATAGAGAGATAGATAAATAAATAAATAGATAGATAGATAGATAGATAGATAGATAGATAGATAGATAGATAGATAGATAGATAGATAGATAGATAGATAGATAGATAGATAGATAGATAGATAGATAGATAGATAGATACATAGATACATACATAGATACATAGATACATAGATAGAGAGATAGATAGATAGATAGATAGATAGATAGGTAAATAGATAAATAGATAGATAGATAGATAGATAGATAGATAGATAGATAGATAGATAGATAGATAGATAAATAGATAGATAGATTTTTGGGTATTTTGCTTTCAACCAAGCGCTCGCCAACTAAGCGCTTTATTTCCCCTGGCAACGCCGGGTGTCCTGCTAATGTATGATATTCGTACACCGATGTAGGGCCATCAGCATTTTTAGGGACAGGCCGTGTGTGACTGACTCAGCATAGCATTTTCACGATTCGTCAGATTTTTCGAGTTAAAGATATTTTCGAGTGCGCATGCGCGCCTGCCAAAATGTTATTTGTTTTCAAAGTTAGCTGAAATTTCGCCTCCCGGTGCAAATGGCATGTACCCATATTTAGCCTCATCAAACACCGAGTATCGCTAAAATTTGAATATATAATCGAATATCGAAAAACGATTTTGTTCGTAATTCCTATACTCAACGCTTATTCACGCCTATACTCGAGTCTCGGTGAAAATATTCATAGTTATGTGATATCCGCTATATTATATAAATCTTCAATAATACCCGGTTAACCATACAAGTCATGTGCAATAAGTGCTTGTGTGAGTACATGAAAGAATAGGACTGTTAGGTAACACGTACACTATGTAACTATATATTCTAAGCCACCTGTGATCGAATCAATCGGATTTCAACTGATGTTTACGTGTTGCTTATGTGTTGTTTATGTGTTATTAACTATTTGTTACATTTTGTTTTCCGTGGCACTTAAATTAAAATATGTTATATCATATTATCTTTACCCTAACTTATCTTTAACATTAGATGATTCACATATGACTAGATTTGCTACATTACAATTCAGTACAGGATTGTCCTAAAATTGTAAGAAAATCTTTAGTCAGATTTAATTACTTTTTACTATTAATTATCATACATATTCCTAGGGTTAGTAAAATCATAAATTACATTTATATTATGTTTTACAAAATTGCTACTTTCAGTTTTTCTGACCACCTCCTTTGTAACGAAATATATATGTTTCTAAGCATTTTTTGAATATTTTTAGCATTAAAAGATATTGGCTGTATAGTTGACGTTGGAGTTGCAGTGTTTCTCGATTGTGGCTAGGTTTGCTCAAGTTATGATGGTAATTAGGCTAGCTCGGGGGGTAAGTGGCTGTATAAGACACTGCTATAAGTGATATTGGAAAGTCCAGCTGTGTTATTTAGATCATAGAAAAAAGGGGTATAAAATGGCCGAGGCACGCTTAGGAAAGTACATGATTAACGAAAACACTCGTTTTTAGTTTTTGCATTAACACAAACATTGCAAAATATCCCAAATGACCACAATCATATTCGTAAACTTTTCTGTGCACCTGTGAATTGAAGTACGATGTTAGTGAAAAGAATTATAGATCAAAAACATAGATTAGTACTATCGTAACCATGTTATATATAGGCAACTTATCACCCCTCTTATCTGATCTCAATATGGCGGCGGGGACTTTAATTCCGATATGACTTATTACTAAAAATGACAGAAATAGGCGGTTCCCCAGTATCTCATCATTTGCGTGTTCATTCGACGATGAATATTTTATGGCAGCCTTAGCGAGGTAGAAATATAGACGCGTTGTAATGTTCTTTAAATAGGGTGAAATAGAAGTGTGTTGATTGATTAATGGTATTTAACATCATAAATCCTACAGTTTAATGCAATTACGCTATAAAATGAACATCTGATGGTTAGTTGGTATTACGTTTTTGCCCAAAAAAAGTTAAATGTGTTTATAATATATAAATATACACACATGTATTTAATTTTAGTCTTAGATAAGTGTAAAGTCACGTACCTGACATAAAGGCACAACATGGCGTAGACAGTTGTAAGATATTGTAGAAGCTAGTGAGCTTATACCCGAAGCTTTAATCAAACATGTTTGATTTTGGAACGATCACCCGATAACAATAAAATCGTCTACAAATGAACCCGCACACCTACATCGTTTCATCGTTTCATCGTTTCATCGTTTCATCGTTTGTAAAAATCGGCTGGTGTGCGGTGGCCTTTATACACGCATATAACACTTGTGCGTGCGCACGTCTATGTGCGTGCACGCGCGCGTGTGTGTGCGCGCGTGTGGGCGTGCGCGCGTGTGTGCGTGCGCGCGCGTTCAGTTTAAGGTAGCTCTGTCGCTATGTATACTCCTGATACTACCTATTTACTCTTAGCATTGCATGTAGATAAAATGTTGCAAGCAGGTCGCCAAGTGCTCTCGTTGTTTTCTCTTTGCGGTTGACATTTTGAGCTATGCTTTTTTTTGTTGCATACAGGCGTATGCGTACGGTTGGCACACTACACCGAGATGTGTAAAGAAACGTGACCGCTGTTAAAATCCCTAGAGGATCTTCTTATACTTATGAGTCTAATTTTAAGAGCCAAAAATAGTCGAGTAAGCGATTGCTTGATGCATCGCGTTTTTACAACGAATGAGCCATTTTCTGCAGGTGTGCTTCATGTAATTTCTGTCATGCGTATATATCGGCCATGTTTTTAAGATAGGTCGAGAATGTTCTCGCAAACGCCACATTTATGCCTACAAACATCTCCGTATGCATGACATTGGCGGACAAACGAGTCAGCCTAACTAACGCAGCCACGAAACATCGCATCGGCTTTAATGTTCAGGCTGTGGGCGCTTTGATTGGTCAACGGACGGCGCGTCCATGTCCCAACCCTACAGTGATTTAATAGTGGTCACGTGTCAAACGAAAGATATGAGAAAGAAGAACGAAAACCTCCACCATTAAAGGTGTAGATCTGGCATTGACACAACTCACGTCTGCCTTTCTTTTGATGCCAGAATGGTTTAACCTTTAATGTCTGCGACGAAGGAAGATTCTTCGGGGAGCTGTTGTCGCAATACTTTAAGCACAAAAACATGGCGAGTTTCATTCGACAGCTCAA